GACCTTGGGTTTACATAGGCCACCAAGTGCCAGGATCATTGAGCACACATGCATCTTGTCCTTGCCCATCTAGGTAGGCTTCTCTGCTGACTACCCTGCACATGCACATGAAGCTGAGCACTTTCTACATGGGAATCAGTACTTGCATGAAGATGAGCACTTGCTGTATGAGGAACTAGCACTTTCTGCACAAGCTTCCTGACACTCTCCCTCATCTTACCCTACCCTCAGCAAAATCCCACACCAGCAAAAATTACCCCACTCCCAGCAAAGCCACCCAGGATAGAAAGTCCTCCCTGAGCAAAAAAATCTCCACCACTTGCCCTAGCAAAGTTCCCCCAGCAAATATTCCTCTCTTCCATCATTTAAGAATAATACACTCTATGTGTGGGGACTTTAATGCCGCAACAAGTCCAAACAGCCTTTATGTATAAAATTACAAATGGTTTATTAGAGTACTGTAAAATATAGTTCAAAATAAAACACATAAAAATGGCAACCAAATGATCAAGTCATATTGGCAGTACTAGACATTATAAGAACCTAAACATGTGAAGCATGAAGCTACATCTGGTGTGTTTCGAGACTGTGAATCTCTTCTTCAGGGGTGCATACATTTAGGTTCAAGGTTTATTCTGAAATACACTTCTCAAAAAAATTAAAGGAACAATTTGAACACTCATCAGATCTGAATGAGGAAAAATATCATGCTGGATATTTATGGATGTCTATACTGGTATGGACTGGGTAATGTGTTAGGAACGTAAGGATGCCCCATCGTTTGATGGAAATGAAAATTATCAACCTACAGAGGACTGAATTCAATGACATCCCAAAAATCAAAGTGAAAAAATGATGCAGCAGGCTAGTCCATTTTGTTCTCCACGGCTTCCCCAGACCCTTTCACATCTGTCAAATGTGCTCAGGGTGAACCTGGTCTTATCTGTGAAAAGCACAGGGTGCCAGTGGCGGACCTGCCAATTCTGGTGCAAATGCCAATCGAGCTCTATGGTGCCGGGCAGTGAGCACAGGGCCCACTAGAAGACGTTGGGCCATCAGGCCACCCTCATGAAGTCTGTTTCTGATTGTTTGGTCAGAGACATTCACGCCAGTGGCCTGATGGAGGTCATTTTGTAGGGCTTTGGCAGTGCTCATCCTATACCTCCTTGCACAAAGGAGCAAATTCCGGTCCTGCTGATGGGTTAAGGACCTTCTACGGCCCTGTCTAGCTCTCCTAGAGTAACTGCCTGTCTCCCGGAATCTCCTCCATGCTCTTGAGACTGTGCTGGGAGATGCAGCAAACCTTCTGGCAATGGCACGTATTGATGTGCCATCCTGGAGGAGTTGGACTGCCTGTGCAACCTCTGTAGGGTCCAGGTATCACATCATGCTACCAGTAGTGACACAGACCCTAGCCAAATGCAAACCTAGTGAAAAACAGTCAGAAAAGATGAGTAGGGAAAAAAATGTCAGTGTCTTCCACCTGTAAAACCATTCCTGTTTTGGGGATCATCTCCTTGTTGCCCATTTACTGCACCTGTTGTTAATTTCTATAACACCAAAGCAGCTGAAACTGATTAACAACCCCCTCTGCTACTTAAATGACAAGATCAGTATCCCAGGAGTTTACTTGACTTTACTCTGATTAAAAAGTGTTCCTTTAATTTTTTTGAGCAGTATATATACAGTATATATATATTTTTATTTTTTTTTGGAGCAGTGGAATCAGTAAATATCAGATAGTCATATACAGTATATTAGACAGTACATTGCTATTGAAGAAAACCACTGACCTAGTTTGTATAGCCAAGATAAATGCTCACAGTTGGCAAGGATAAAAACACAAATGTAGAAAATGCTATTTCTACCTTGTGTCACTGAGAGGAACCGTCTCCAAAGCCGCAAAGTCTAAACCACTGGGGCAACCAAGGAGCAGCAGTGGAAAACAATTGCCACAGTGATGCTGTTAAGTAAAATGTAAAGGATAACTATATTAAATATGGGACCATTGTTGCACAGAAGATGCACAAGTGATGTGTGTCTAGTAGTAATGGGTTGCATGTTCGAACGGTATGGGCATTCTGCGAACTGTGCGCCCGCCGTGCCCCCCACAATACACTGTGCCCTAACAGTGCGTTTGTGATTGGTCGAAGCATTGCACCTGACCACAGGTCAGGTGCAATGATTTGGCCAATTACAGGACATGATGATGCCACAAGGGGGCAGAGACCTTTGATGCACAGAAGACGCACACGTGATGTGTGCCTAGTAATGGGCAGCATGTTTGAGTCAAATGTAAATTCGACTCGAACATCGGCTGGTCGTGTTTTCGGAACACATGAACGCTATGAACTTTTGGCGGGCTATTCACCCTCCATGCCCCAAAATGCACTGCACCCTGACAGTGCATTGTGATTGGCTGAAGCATTGCACCTGACCACAGTCTCCTGTCTTTTTTTACACTACACTTTTTTTTTTGTGAATAGGTAGCGGTACCATGTACCCCATACTCATTCATATGGGGCGCTTCCAGATTCTGATAAGCCACCCCTCCCAGAGACCCCCACAACCAGCATTGTGGGTAAAAGGCCCTTGTCCTCATCAACATGGGGACAAGGTGCTTTGGGGGGAAGCCCCTCTGCCCCAAAGCACCCTCCCATGTTGAGGGCATGTGGCCTGGTATGGTTCAGGAGGGGGGAGTTGCTCGCTCATCCCCCCTTTTTTAACCTTCCGGCCTGCATGCTTGGATAAGGGTCTGAAATAGATTTAGGGGGGAACCCCACACAATTTTTACAATTTTGGCATGGGGGGTTCCCCTCAAAATTCATACCAGATCCGAAGGACTTGGTATGGATCGGTGTGGGGAACTTATGCCGTTTTTATTTTTTTAATTGTCGTCAATGCCAATAATTCTTTTGACATTTAGCTGTCAGCAGGGAATCCCGCTGACAGCTGAAACGTGAATTAATTCACTACTAAAATACCACATGACTTAATAATATATCTCATGTGGTATTTTTGTAACTGAGCTGTATCTTACTGCATACTCAGATGTGATAAGATACTGCTCGGTAAATTGTCTCTGTTCGAAATTCGCTGTCGAACTTTCGTTAGGTTTGAATGTTTGACTGCGAACCGAACAGGGGAGTGTTAAGCCCATCACTAATGTCTAGATATATATAGAGAGGTAAAATACTTACATTTTAGATCATGTTCAAATGAACATTGGCTGGAAGAAACCTTGGAAACAGCGGATGATCAAATTATCCCAACATGGCAAGCCATTACTTTAAATGAAGCCCGTGATGATCTAAATATCCCAAAAAGCTATGAAAGGAGAAAGAAAGGGGAAGAATAGAAACAAAACTCAATAAATCTATAAGCAACACATGTTAGAAATAAGGGAGGAAGAATATTAAGCCCATGCATTTCACTACATACATGGCTGAGCAGGCTCCCCTGTATGTGGTTAGCAAACAAGACCAAAAAAATCAACTCTCCTTACCAGCTGGCCTATACAAACTAGGTCAGTGCTTTTCTTCAATAGCAATGTGCTATCTAATATATTGTATATGACTATCTGATATTTACTTTCATATTTCAGATTAAACCTTGAATCTAAATGTATACACCCCTGAAAAAGAGTCACAGTCTCTAAATGTGTTGGGTGTCGCTACATGCTTCACATGTTTAGGTTCCTTTAATGTCTAGTACTGCCATTATGCCTTGATCATTTAGTCACCATTTTCATGTGTTTTAATATTTTGGACTGTATTTTGTAGTACACTACAATATATTTTTTTGTAAATTTATAAATAAAGGCTCTTGTTATTGCATTAAAGTCCCCACACTTAGAGGGTATTATTATGTTAAACTGTATCAGCTTGGGATGTTGCAGCCTCGACTCCTATATCTAATTAATCCCTTCCATCATTGACACGCTAAGCAGACCTCAAATACAGTAGTGCCTGACAGAGTGAAGGGAAGGCCTACCAAATGTCCCCTTGGCTGTATCGAATAACCTCTTCTCAACAAGCTCATCTGGTTGTGGGGGTCTATGGCTGTTGGCTTATCAGAATCTGGAAACCCCTTTAAAAAGCCACAACATTTTTTTGTGGGGTTCCCTTACCAACATTTTTACTAGACCCTCATCTAGGATAAGGGCCTAGTATAGATGAAGGGAATCCATTTTACAAACAGAAGTAAAGCGGTCGAAGTTGTAATTTGCCAGCAATTCAAACAGCATTTTCTTTTTTCTTTGTAAATGCCAGTTTTGCTGCAGTTGGTTGTAGACATCGTACAGATCCGCCACTTCACAAGCAGGTTCAGGGCATCACCTGGACATGTTATTTAACCGCCTCCCGGTTAAATAACATATGACGGACGCAAGGTGGTTCTCTCGTTCTGGGAGGACGTCATATGACATCCTCCCATTCTAACCGCGCATGCCGAAGTTGGCTCAGTCATGTGATCAGCTGTGTCCAATCACAGCTGATCACATGTAAACAGGGAAATGCCGGTTATCGGCATTTCTGTCCTCTCAAGCTGTCACGCTGACAGCTCGAGAGGAGAGGAGAGCTGGTAATCGGCATTCCTCGGAGGGGACATGTACACAGATAATCAGAGCACTGATGATCAGTGTGCCCTGATGATCTGTGTAGCCCCAGCAGCGCCACCTGTCAGTGTCCATCAGTGCCAGCTCTCAGTGCTCATCCATGCCACCTGCCAGTGCCCATCAGTGCCACATCAGTGCCACATTTCAGTGCCCATCAGTGCCAAATCAATGCCACATATCAGTGCCCATCTGAGCTGTCTTTCAGTGTCACCCATCAGTGCCAGTCAGTGCCACCTATCAGTGCTGCCAATCAGTGCCACCTATCAGTGCCAGTCAGTGCCGCCTATCAGTGCCACCTATCAGTGTTGCCTATCAGTGCCATACATGAGTGCTGCTTTTCAGTGCCCATCAGTGACGCCTGTCAATGCCCATCAGTGCCACCTACCAGTACCTCCTCATCAGTGCCCATCAGTGCCACCTATTAGTGCCGCTTATCAGTGCCCATCAGTGCAGCCTCATTAACGCACATCAGTGAAGAAGAAAAATCACTTATTTACAAAATTTTATAACAAAAACTAAGAAAAAACTTTAGTTTTTTTCAAAATTTTCAGTGGTTTTTGGTTTGTTTAAGAAAAAAATAAAAAATCCAGAGGTGATTAAATACCACCAAAATAAAGCTCTATCTGTCACAAAAAAATGATAAAAATTTCATATGGGTACAGTGTTGCATGACCGCACAATTGTCATTCAAAGTGTAACAGCACTGGAAGCTGGAAATTGGCCTGGGTAGGAAGGGGGTATAAGTGCCCTGTAGGCTAGTGGTTAAACACTTCCCGTCCAGGCCAATTTTCAGCTTTCAGTGCTATCACACTTTAAATGACAATTGCACGGTCATGCAACACTGTACCCATATGAATTTTTTTGCATTTTATTGAGACAGATAAAACTTTATTTTGGTGGTATTTATTCTCCACTGGGATCTTTATTTTTTTGCTATATAAATGAAAAAGTCCAAACAAAAAGTGTTTTTCTTATAAAATTTGCAAATAAATAATTTGTATTCCTAAATCTTGGCCAATTTAGTTTATAACCAAAAATTATAATTTGTTATAATAATAATAATAATATATATATAATATATTATAATGTTTTTTTACATTTTTATTTTATTTTTTATATCATTATTTGTTTTTTGTTTTTTTTAACATACTGTCACCCTAGCAGTACAGTGTCACCATAGTTACACTGTACTACTTGTGGGGGTGATGAAGATTTTTTTTTTTTACACTGATTGCTTTTACACCTATAAAGGCTGTAAAAGCAATAATTTCTCCTTCTCTCTGGCTGCATTCTTGCAGACATTGAGAAATACTGTGAGAGCTGTGATTGGTCACAGCTTGTCACATGGTACAAGGCTGTTGTGAGTAGCCTTATACCATGTGACCTCTCTGATCATTCACAGATTTCACTAGTTTTAAGCAATGATAACAAGAAGTGACATCTTGCTTACTACTATTCATGTGATCACTGATTGTCCACTCACTGATCACATGATCGGGACCTCACACAAATGTCACACAAATGTTCTGCTGTGCCCTCCAGAGGGAGCGTGCACAGGCAGGGAATGTGGGAGAACATTTATAAACGGCCACTTGCTCCTGCACTGCTCCCGTACGGCCGTTTATGTACATGGCACAGACGGGAAGTGGTTAAAGCAATTTGCATTTTTATTATTGTTAGTATTATTAAGAATTATTAAAATCTCTTCCAAATGGAATTGTCTTACATTTTTCTTGTGCTGGGACAGTGTCCAGCTCTCCATGTCATTTGTACAATTCCTTGCGTTTTAGCCTAGAAAATGGCCATTATTGATTTTTAACCTATTGACTTCAATGCAGTTTGGAGTTGGCACCAAAACTTTAGAAATGTTCACCAGATCTGCCTCAAATCAAACCCATGTACATTCATCTCATCACTAAGCACAACAAAGACAAATAGTTTGGGGATTTTATTTATTAATATTTTTATAATTTTATATGTTGAATGTACTGTAGGTACTATATGTAGTTTTATCTGGTTTTACTTTTCAAAGTGTAGTTATAGTTTAATAAAATAAAACTTCAAAAAAAAGGTCTGCAATTTAACATATAGGTTCATAAAATAAACAGCAGGTGAGATATAAATATTTCAATCAAAGATATTCACAGTGCTCATGCAGGAAATAAAAATACTATAATCTTTTATTTCTAGTTACAGTATGAGATTTCAAAACTCTTACATACTTTTATTCTGTCATACCGAATAAAAACATTTTCTTTCACTATAATTATATTCTATTTTAGCTGCTGTTAATATTTAGCCTTGTCCGCTTCAGAATAATTTAATGCATAGGTGCAGTGACTTATTCATATACACATGTCATGTTCACAATAGGTGCTAAAGAGGGCACATAATGAAAGATGATCCATGAATATTATGTTTTACTTTATTCTTTAATTCCTGACAGCACTGTTATTTAATTTAATAGATTTTAAAGTCTGCAAGAAGAAACTTATTATAATCTGAGATTTTACCTGTAACCTCATTTGGAAATGCTAGTAAAAGAATGTTCAGAGTCTTATTTGAAAAATATAGTTTTTTGGTGAATTAAGTTACCATCAAGAAGAAAAGCACCAAAATAGAAGTTAAAAAACATGTATTCCCCCACTGTTTTAGTGAGCTATACTAATATTTTGTGTCCCATCATGACCAATATTTACCCTAAGATCATGGAATATTTTTCTGTACTTGGAGAGATTTTAAATAGGTGAAACCTGGTGGAAAATGCATGCATTGCAGAAATGTACAGAATGTGTTTTTCTTTTTCTAATTTTTCCATAACGTACTTTAAAGGCTAAGTTAAACTTTATAAAAAAAATAATGAATACACATCTTTTTGCAGGTGAAAAAAATGTGCATTTTTTTTTCTCTGCAGCCTGTAAGGCATTGCACAGGTGATCATTAGAACATGGGTGCAATGTTAGACTCCTGCAGACAGTTACTTAAAGCAGAGCTCCGGGCTGCCCCCCCAAAATTACGAATCATCAGCTACAAATACTGTAGCTACTGACTTTTTACATAAGGACACTTACCTGTCCCGGGGGTCCAGCAATGTCCTCACCCAAGCCGATTCTTCAATTGGCTTTGGGTGCTGGAGCTGGCATCTTCAGTAAGGGAAACAGGAAGTGAAGACTTGTAGAGTTTCCTACTGCACATGCACAAAGCGTGAAGTGCTTTGTGAATGGGCCGCAGTCTTCTGGGATCTGTGAAGTGTACCAGAAGGCTGCAGGGGTTGGGGGGGGGGTGCAAACTTATAGCCTCGGCGATCTGATCTGGAAGTGGGAGCAGGTACCTGTCAAAACCAGGTACCCTCTACTACCCCCCCCAAAAAAAAGTGACAAATGTGACAGTGGAGGAGGGAAGGAGACAGACAAGAAGAAATTCTCCTTTTGGGTGAAGTTCCACTTTAATTGCAGGAAGAATCAGCCACAAAGACGCACACCAGCGTTCTCATAGTTTATTGAGAACTACAAGCAATCGGTACTTGTGGCGGATCCCATGACTGCACTGTTTTCTTTAATTCTGATAGCAGGTGCAGGGAGAAAAAGCTTGCTCACTGTCACAGGGAGGGGGAGATTGTTGGGAGAGGAGGCAGAAGCTGGAACATGTTATGTGATCCACTATAAATATAGGTGGAACATGTAACATGTTCCAAAGGTGAATTTATCCTTTAAATCTATAAATGATAGACTTGATCATCTGGGTTCTCAATTATGACTATATTTGGAAAAAATATTTTATAGATTGGGCCAGGTATTGTGTCAGTTGAGGAAAGGGGGGCACATTGCTGCAAATATGTGTGGGTACCAAAAGTAGAAGCCTACTAAACCTTCCTGGAACAAATGAATGTCAGGCTATTCAGACAGGCTACATTTTGGCACTTCCTGATAGTGCCAATGTGGAGAAGAGGCTAAGGCTGGACATAGATTATCTTGAGATTTTTTATTTAGATTTACCAAAAACCATATAATAGGAGGTCAAACCTAACAACACTTTCAATTGTATCCAATTAGGCAGGCTCTTGCACTACATAGTTGAAGGAAAATCTAAAGGAAATTGGGCATAAATTGGACAGAAAATTGTATAGTGTATGGCCAGCCTTAGTGGCAATTTCTGAAACTACCTAAAAGTGTTAGAGCTTTACCTGTCAAGGTTTGGGAGATTGCTGAAAGTTACTACCTCATACCTGTGGAATTTTGATCCCCTAACCCTAGTAAGAGAGTTTCTTCAAGTATGTTGAGAGCTGCATACAGATTGACACACTGAAGAACAAATAATGAAAAGAAAAAAGCATAAATATAGGCAAGAATGAAAAAAAGGTAGTATTGTGGATCTAAAAAAACATATAAACATGGTCGGTAAATGGAAGAGCTCTCTTTGCAGCAGCACAGTGGCTAAATGGTTAGCACTTCCACCTGGCAGTACTAGGGTTGTTGGTTCAAATTCCAACCATGGCACCACCTGCGTGGAGTTTGCATGTTCTCCCTGCGCCTGTGTGGGTTTCCTCTGGGTACTCTGGTTTCCTCTCACACTCCAAAGACATGCAGGTAGGTTAATTGGCTCCTGTCTAAATTGTCCCTAGTATGTGTATGAATGTAAGTGGACCTTACCTTAGATTGTATGTTCCTTGAGGGTTAGGGACTGATGTGAATGTACAATATATATGTAAAGTGCTGTGTAAATTGACAGCGCTATATAAGTACCTGTAATAAATAAATAAAACTTTGCTAGACAAACCAGTCCCCTTAATATTGCTTAAACTGGAAGAGATTATACATAGAACTTCTGTTGTACCAGTCCACCAAACTTTGTTACTTTCATACTATCTGTTTCTTTAGATGTAAAATACTATTATAAGTACTCTACTTATTAGGGGATAGTTGCATGCATTAAGCCTGAAGCTTTCGTCAGTTAGTTATTATTTCAATTGAAATACTGGGGTTGATTTACTAAAGGCAAATATACTGTGCACTGCAAATGCAGTTGCTCCGGAGCTTAGTAAATGGGCTAAAATTTCACTTTGCAAAGAATACCAACCCCATGCAAGGAAAATAAAAACCAGCATTTTAGCTTGCACGTGATTGGATGATAGAAACAAGCAGAGCTTCCCTTCATTTCAGAGCTTACCCTCAGATCGAGAGCAGTGCACAGACTATTTTCCTTTAGTAAATCAACATCATTGTATCTTTGCTTTAAAATGAGTGATGTTTGCAGTCCAATATATTTTATTAACTATAAAGTTTGCTAAAATCTAAAGTGATAACATTTGTTATCCAACCCAGCAGACCTTTGTCAGGTAAAAGACAATACTGAATCTGAGAATAATACATTAATACTGTATAAAACCCAAGAATTACAGAGGTGTTATTAGCTGCTGAAAATGTGGGCCATTCAGATAACGATGAGGATTAGGACTGCATTATTGAGGAA